ATATAACTGCAGTACAAGATTATGAGATGCATTATTTGAATGCTTGGCCAAAGAGACGTGTCTTTAATCTAGATTTAAACAGAGAGAGTGTCTGAACAATTTAACCATGCCTCTTTCCAATGAATATCAGAAATCTGCGCATTCCAAAAAAAATTCCCTCTTGGAGAGATTTAATGATTGGATTGAAAGATTAATCTAATATTTGTATTATTGCAGGAATGAGAAAATAGTTTAATACCATCAACTATTAACTCAGGAAGTTTCCTTTCGTGACTTCCAAAAATGAGGTGACTTTTCATTAAGTGTATTAATCCGTTTGGAATGGCTTTTACAACTTTCTGAAACTCTTTAAATGGAATGGGGAAATTAGAAAGCCGTAAATTCTTCATAAGACGACAAGTTTCCACTTTTATCGAAACAGATCCATAACAAAGTATATATATATATTTTTTAACCAATTACACAAAAATAAAGACTTATTCCTAGAGGTAATGAGACAATTGTTCCAAAGAAGAGTTTTGTGAGGAGAGAAATTAGCAACTTTCTCTGAAAATTAGTTGGCAACACTGGGGACATCACGCTCCATTCGGAAGTTCCAGCGCAGCAGCAGTGAGTGAACGCTGAGTTTAACCAAGCCTTAGTGTACACAGCTACAACATGGACGACGACGTGTTAACGACTTTAAAGATTTTAATTATCGGTGAGAGTGGTGTGGGTAAATCAAGGTAAGGTCTGAATCGGCTGTTTTTGTTTCGTTAGTCTTCCCGTACAGTAGGGTGAGTTGTTAAATAGCGTTAGCCTCGTCTGAACGAGCAACAAGCTCCGCTAAACGAATGCTGACTGTTCTATTCAGCCATTAAACTTAACTTTTTAAAGCTGTTTTGGCCTCAAGAACAAAATGAAATGCGCTATATTGTGCCCCTCGTGCTATTTTTTGCCTTCTGATGTGTTGACATCTAAGCACTGTAGATTGTTAGCCTCAAGAATTGTGAAGCACGGACATAACTGTTATATTTAGTTAGATTTTTTAAAAATATTCTGTTAATGTGTACTTTGTGCACTGTTACTGTTGTCGCGTCCATATAAATATTTCATAAGAGCAGGGAAACCGTGTTAGCTGGCAGCTGTTTTCGTGTAGCAGTCGTGCTAGTATCTGCTCACTGTGTGAAACACACAGGCCTTAGATTGAGTTTATCTCCCGTACAGTAGGGTGAGTTGTTAAATAGCGTTAGCCTCGTCTGAACGAGCAACAAGCTCCGCTAAACGAATGCTGACTGTTCTATTCAGCCATTAAACTTAACTTTTAAAAGCTGTTTTGGCCTCAAGAACAAAATGAAATGCGCTATATTGTGCCCCTCGTGCTATTTTTTGCCTTCTGATGTGTTGACATCTAAGCACTGTAGATTGTTAGCCTCAAGAATTGTGAAGCACGGACATAACTGTTATATTTAGTTAGATTTTTTAAAAATATTCTGTTAATGTGTACTTTGTGCACTGTTACTGTTGTCGCGTCCATATAAATATTTCATAAGAGCAGGGAAACCGTGTTAGCTGGCAGCTGTTTTCGTGTAGCAGTCGTGCTAGTATCTGCTCACTGTGTGAAACACACAGGCCTTAGATTGAGTTTATAGAGGGGTCAAATACTTACTGTAATGCACAGATACCAGTGTTGGGGAAAGTTACTTTAAAAGTAGTGCAGTACAATATTGCGTTACTCCAATAAAAAGTAACTAATTACGTTACTAGTTACTTTTTATGGAACGTAATGCGTTACGTTACTTTTGCGTTACTTTTGAAATCTGGACAGGGCTCGCTTGTTTGTTTTTAAAATAAAAAAGATCTAATTTTGGCAAATATAAAAGCTTTTCACACCAAAAGTGAAATGAATAAGCCTCAGGCTGAAGGGAAAGTAAATTAACGTCCGTAGAGTAGAATACAGAAGAAGACATTTCAACACACTTCAGCAACAAAATGTTCGTCTAGAGTAATTTGTGCTTATTAGTACGGTTGAACTGGATCATCGAAGGTCAGAAGCAAAGACATTGGTTAATAGAATGGGATTAAATACATAAAGCATATTTGTGGTGCTTAACATTTAATTATGGCAGGTTTGCATCATATTCTGAGTTGCGTTATTTTGATTCATTTTGAGGAATACTGAATCTGTGTTTTTTTTTTGTGTGTGTGTGAGTGAGATGAATTAATGCATATTCATATTTATTTTAGAACTACAGTGACATCTTCTGATTTCTCAACATGGGGACAGGAGAGCTGTCAATCAATAAATTGAAGAAAAAAAAAAGTAACTTGCGTTACTTATTTGAAAAAGTAACTCCGATATTTCCCTTGTAAATTAAAAAGTAATGCGCTACTTTACTAGTTACTTGAAAAAAGTAATCTGATTACGTAACTCGCGTTACTTGTAACGCTGACAGATAATACTTGAAACATGTCCACTTATGATGAAAAAGGGATGTAGCTAAATTAGTGTTAAAGTAATATTTCAAAGCCCTTCCTCATCCAGTCAGGAAAGTAAATGTGCTCTTCATAATTTAATTTATTGTCATCCTTGCAGAAAAGAAAGTGTAATTGTATAAGAAAACAATAATATGAAAAAATATTAAAGAAAGCTTAATTATTACAATTATTTATCATTTTAATTCTGATTTTCTTATATTTATCCGTTATGTTCTCAGTTTGCTCCTGCGCTTCACAGATGACACTTTTGACCCAGAATTAGCTGCAACCATTGGTGAGTCACATGAGTGTTTGGGAATATTAATAACCAGACATTGTTTACAGGCCTGTAATCAGTTAATGCACAAAACTAATGAGCTTATAAACTAAATCTTACTTAGCAATTAAGTCTTGTTGTTGAAATATTTAGTTTTACCTTAACAAATATACTTTAATCCTTGTGTATTTTAAAGTATGCTTAATTTCATATTTTTCATTGGTTATTTAGGTGTCGACTTTAAAGTGAAAACTATTGCAATAGATGGCAACAGAGCAAAGCTGGCCATATGGGTAAGTGTTGTAGGGCAGTCAAGTCTTTTATAAATGCTCAACAATGTTTAAAAAAGGGATGTAGTGGCAGGCCCAGTTCTACGGGGGTGCTAGAGGGTGATCAATAGCACCCTCAGTTAATGCTGTAATAATGGCATTTCATTGCAGATTTGGCTAACTATCCAGTGCTTTATGGTTTGCACTCTGGAGATAAGTTTCCATTTCAACATTTTGCAGCGTTGAGCATTGTAGCCAATCACAGACATATCTGTTGATTTCTGAAACCCAACAGCCAATCAGAGGTGTTTAAGTTAGAATCCACTCACTGCTCAAATTGCCACAGTTTTTGTTCAGGTGTTGCGTTCAAGCGGCAACCTTCCTGTCTCTCTCATGAAACCAACACGGAAGTGACTAAAACTGTAATTCATCGACTGGCTGCTAGAGGCTGGCTCCAAAAGGGAGTCAGTCCCATAGACGCCCATGTTAAAATGCCCAACTTTACAGCAGAAAAAAATGTGTTTACAGCCTGGTACAAAAAGTGGTTTTGATCTATATAGCTAATTTTGCCCTTTATGACAACTGTGAGGGGGGTTAATTTTTTTATAACTCATCCGTTTAAATTATATTAAGCCTTAAAGTTCTGCATAATTAAGGGCGTGGCCACTTGAGTGACAGGTGGATTGCCGCTGCTGTCACCACCGTCGAGCTAGGTGGGTGTGGTTTCATCAACCAGCTCCACCCACATCCCACCTCTTTGCCCATTTTCGATTATCCGGGAGTGACGCATAGTGACGTGCTGCCAAGATGGCGACGGCCGACTCCGCCAACTTTGAGCTTCAAAAACTCTCTTCAGAAACCTACGGGTGAAGTCACGGACACTACGTCCATGTTTTTATACAGTCTATAATCTACGAATCATCTCATTACAACAAAGTGTAGACTCGATGTAAATAAGAGATTAATTATGCAGTATAGAGAACTTAATTGATTATAACTAGAGGTCGACCGATATGGGTTTTTCTCTGGCCGATGCCGATACTTAGAAATCAGGGCAGCCGATGGCCAATATATGATGCCGATATGTTTGGCCGATTTTCTTTTTTCACCAGGGTACAAGATAGTAATAGTAGTAGTAGCTTAATTCATAGTAATAATACATGGCTCAAAACTTAAGCAACTTCTCAAAACAGTTCTGAAGCATGCTTTTTGTTTATATTTGCTGACAGACACCAGTGTTTCCCACAGACTTGCAAATGCAAATTGATCTTCTGCCAGCAGAGATATAGCGGTTTCCCCGGTAACGGCTGTAATCAAATCAGCGCTGCGCTTACAAACGCTACTTTATCGGGCATTGCAGGAGAGACGAAATGAAAATGACATCAAAGCTTTTCTGAAGACGGTCGGTTCTTTTCAAAGATACATTCATATAAAAATGAATGTATTATGCATTTTAATTTTGAAACGTACAGTGCTCAGTTTATTCAAGGAAGTATAAGCCTTTTGGAAAATCTATTTGTGGCGGTCAGTTTTGATATTGTGACTAGCCGCCACAAATAACTCAATGTATGGGAAACACTGGATATTGCTAAAAGTCAAATGGCCATAATCTAAGTGATGATAAAAATAAAAGAGTTCACTCATCATCGTGGAGGCTATTTTCAGACCCACAGACACATTTCATGAGGAAAGTTAACGTGCATGTTATAGTCAGCCCAAAAGTTTCGTCTGAAATGCACGTGTTTCTACTTTCGTACGCAAATCACTTGTTGCACTTATGAATATGATAAGCATGGTCGGCATCAATTCTAGTACATTTACATTTAGTCATTTTGTCGACGCTTTTATCCACTAGTAGGGTAAAACGTAACTACGCTTTCGAAACAGGTCTGTTTTGCCCTGCCATCATTAGCTGAAGCCGTGTGTGAACAAGCCGTGGCTGCAGAGTGTGAGCTGCTCACACCGCCAGAGAGAGATTCTCGGTATGGCATTCCGCAACAACGCTTAGCTGCCCGCAGATGCGCCTGCCTATAAATAGGCCTAATTTGCAGCACAATTGGCCGATGCGATTAATAAAAAAATCCACCAAAATCGGCCTGATTAATCGGCCGGCCGATTAATCGGTCAACCTCTAATTATAACGTAATTTTGTGAGATTGCGATGAACTAAGATGAGTGACAGCTTTTAGTGGTTATAAAGGGAACGCTTTTGCGCCATAGCAATGGACGGTACAAATATATTATTTATATAGTATGTATATATGTAGGCATGGGCCGGTTTGAGATTTTCATGGTATGATAACCTTAAGCAAAAATATAACGGTTTTCACAAACTTCATATTTTCACATAAATGACATTTTGGAAAACGATTACATTGCAACGCAGTTTGTGCAAGTCCAGAACAGAGACGAGTTGCTTGCAATAAGACAAAAAACGTCCGGTTGCCGATCGCGTAAGTTCCAGTGGCAGCTTCTTAAGTTCGGCCATCCTACACACACGTGACTGACCGCTCGCTCGCACCAACAGGAGGAGGAGGGGTCGTGTTACTCTCTACACTGCACTCAACCTGAGAGATTCCTACACTTTCAGTCTTTTAGGAGACATGAAAAACAGTGCATATCGCAGGAACGGTATAACGGAAAATATTAGCGGTTTTGAAACGGTGAAATTTTCAAATCGAGGTATACCTTGAAACCAGTAATCGCCCCATGCCTATATAAGATATTATCTATCTATCTATCTATCTATCTATCTATCTATCTATCTATCTATCTATCTATCTATCTATCTATCTATCTATCTATCTATTAAGAAGCACCCTCAAGAGATTTGATTTTGAAGCCAGGCCTGTGTAGTGGTTTAAATGCATATTTTGGATTATGATCATGTCCACTACGTTTACAATTGTCTTGTTCCACTAGATGTCACTATTACGCTTTGCAGAATTAAGTGACATTCTGTTTAAAAAGCTGCTGAAATCCTCATGAACTTCTGTTTTAGGACACGGCCGGTCAGGAGAGGTTCAGAACTCTAACGCCAAGCTACTACAGAGGAGCCCAGGGTGTCATTTTGGGTTAGTGTTTTCGCATAATTGATTGTATTGATTGTATATTTGATTTGGTCAATCAGAAGTTCTGCAGGCAGATATTTTGTATTATGTATAATGCAGATACATTTTATAATTGCTCCAGACACAGCTACATAGCTGTGCTAGTTTCATGTCTCTCAGATCATTCTGAGGTGTGTCTATTTATTTGATCTCTTTATTCATTTAGTAATTAGTCATGTAATATGTAGAATAATGTACAGTTGGCCAAATGATATCACAAGACAAGAGTGTGCATTATATTCATTCTCAAATCCAATCAGGTGCTTGTACTAGTTGTTGAATGTAAAATTTTCTCTTCTTTTAGTGTATGATGTTTCAAAGCGGGACACGTTCACAAAGCTTGAGAACTGGCTTAATGAGCTGGAGACATACTGTACACACAACGACCTGGTTAAAATGCTAGTGGGGAACAAAATTGACAAGGTTTGTTTGATTAATGTTATTCTGAATGTAAAGCTGCTTGATACAGTGTTTTGGTGTAGAGCGGTGAAGGTTGTTTTAGATTAACAGTGTCTTGAATAGATAGTTAACCCAAAAATGAACCTCCAAAACGAACATACTCACTCAACCTCATTAATGGCTTTATTTTATGGAAGACATTATTATTATTTTTTTTAACTCTCATTAGTTTTCACAGTATGGATAAAAACATTTGAAACATTCTTGATGACAGAATTTTCTCTCCCTTTATGTAGACCATCAGAATGATGTATAGTCCTACCCTCAGTGAAGTTGTCTTGGTCCCAAATTTGACTCTGTATCTCTAAAATATAAACATTAGCTGTGATGTCACTTTGGTTTAATGCAGACTAGGGTTGGGCCGATAGACAATCCCATCGCCGATGGCTGACAGACATCACGATGTTGAGCCGGCATCGTGATCCCCGCCCCGCTACTAATTGAAACTAATGGCATTGACACCGCTTTCGAATGCACACTCTCATTTTACTTTCACTTTCAAGATTCGCGATCACACAGACTCTATACTACAGAGCGGCAGTACCTACCACCCATTTTACAAGATTAGATATTTGTCAGTGGTGCTCAGTATCTGCAAATCATTCGCAATTGTCCTATCAGTCATCTCTCCTTACTCTGTGTATGTGGTAAGTGAACTTTCATGTAGTGTAATGTAATAGTATACCGCTAGCAAGCGGCTAACCATGTCCCTTTAGTGGCTCCGTTATTTGTTTTCCATGCCTTTCTGCATACGATTCACGCTTCGGGCACACCCTCTAACCCCACCCCCCAACGTCATCGTCCATCACGATGTTTCACTGTAGACATCGCCCAACTCTAATGCAGGCAATTAATTTTACATGTGAAGCTTGACATTTTGCGAAGGCGCACACTGAGGTGTTACTAAATTTAAAATAAAAGATGTTGGATTTTTGTTGTTGTTGAACTGGTCAAATGTTCAGTCTAGAATTTCAAGTCAAATCTCAATGTCAGAAAACTTGAATCTTGATGTAATAATGGCTTCACTTAAGAGGTAAATGAAGTTAAGTGGCTGGCACTTAAAGGAGTTTTTTTGTTCTTTGTAATATAAAAGCAATAAAACTAAACTCAATTTACAGTTCTTAAAAAATGCATTTCAAAATGTAAAAAAAAGGGTACATTAAAATATTGATTTTCCTGAAGAAAATAAAATGCATTAAGATTTTAACAGTTCTCTCTGGTTTATTGAAAAGATGGAAAAAAAGATTAATCTTAGTGGTTTACAAACGATTTAAATAGAAACTTGACCTGTATTTTTTGGTAAGGAAAGTTGCCAAAAAAGTAATGGAATGTGACCTTAAAGACAAGTGTTGAAGTTGTGTGTGCTGACATTGGGAGTTTCCTGTAACTTTTTTAGCTGCTTTGTCTCGGGGTGACTCCGCATTATAATTAGAAAGACCTCTCTGTTTCAGGACAACCGTGAAGTAGACCGGAATGAAGGCTTGAAGTTTGCACGAAAACACAATATGCTTTTTATTGGTATGTTTCCTCTTTATTATCATTCTTTTTTTTCAGTTAGATTTGATGATTTGGAAAGTCCTACCTGTATCTTAAGTTAATTTGATTTTTTGACACTAAAGTCTCCTGTTAGCCATCAGAGGATGTGAATGAGCATGATGGTCTGCCTTTGTCCAGACAATCCTGTCTTGCCAGGATTTTCTTTATATTTTCCAGGCTCTTTGAAATAAAGTTAGAGATGTCAGAATGATTTTCAGTTATAAAAAGTTAATTTGTGTTGAACATATGCTTATATAATGGCAAATACATATGCCTTTGTTCCTAGAGAGATCATGGAACATCAGAACAATAAGTCTTTTCTGTCATAGCTACTATTCTGTGACTTAATATATATTTATACAACAGTTCGTTCTGGTTTTCAAATCTGATTGTCTGAGAGCCTTTTCCAGCGGTGCGATATTCCTGTGGTATCAGAACTCTAACCGTTTAACTCCACTTTTTGTCGGACCTATACTGGCAGCATTTGTCTCAGTGAGCATCAATGGCAGAAGAGCAAACCCACTATAATTTTACAATATTATTACTGTTATTGTGTCACAGAATGTAGTTTTAAGAGATTTTTTAGGTGAGAATGTAGTTGTTTAGACCTCAAATATGCCATTTATATATAAAGATAGCACCTATTTGTCAATTTGTTTAGACGTTCAGCACTCATGTACCCCACCGAGAACAGCTTTAATCAGCCGCTGGCTCTTATGTAGATGGTGTTACACAAGGTATAATTCATTTTGGTTACATTAAACAGGCAATCTTTGGTCTTATTAATCTATTACTTGTTCCAGAGCAAATCGATTTGGCTTTAGGGAAAAGTTAAGTTTCATATTTTTTTTTATTTTTATGTAATTCAATTCTGTACTAACTACAGCGCTGCTACTTTTGACTGAATTGATTGCTTGTGTTTATTGTACTTTTATAATGACTATTGTTGTTAATTTATATATTATTGTTCAGTAAACATTTTCTATATCTAATATGCCATATTTGGTATTGAGAAAGGGTCCGTTAGTGATTATGATTTCATCTTCAGAGAAAGTTAAATGATTATGACCGTCTTTATGAGTGAGTCGCAAGGACTTTTATTTTGAAAGGGACTGAAACAGGGATGCTATTATTACTTTAAACAGCTTTATAAGCAACCATAGGGATGCAACTGACAAATGCATTGCCTAGCGCTGTCGTGAGAAATCCCCTTAACTGTTCAAAGGACAAAGATATCGCTTTCCTATATATAAGTTCGACCTGAAGAATGAATGCTGGTATCACATGCAGGTAATAGACTCGCTCAGGTGATCTCTCTGTCTCGTAATACTCAACATAATACAATGAGCTTCAATGAAGCAACTCAATGTTCCTTCGTTACTAGTTCTAAAGTGAAGTTTTAGAATTGGTAACGTCACCGAGTAGTAGCTATAGGAAAGGCCAGAGGTGTAAAGAGTACCTAAAAACCATACTTGAGTAAAAGTACAGATACCTTACAGTGAAAATTACTCCACTACACGTTACAAGTCACCAATTCCAAAACAACTTGAGTAAAAGTCTTAGAGTATCTGATTTTAACAGTACTTAAGTATTTTACTTATACTAAACATAGGATCAAAGAAGCACTAGTCAAAGAGACATGCCAGTGATAAACTGCCTGTTTTCTGCAGCTTCTCCACAACGTTACAGAGGCAAGGATATATGTGCTGGTATTTCATGGAAAAACTAGAACAAACAATAAGGCAAAACCCAAAGGGAACAAAAAAACAGAATGACTGACAAACAGAACAACCATTACATTCGACAACTCTAGGGCTATATATACACACAGAGGGCTAACAAGCTTAAGTCAAGTCAAGTCAAGTCTGCTTTATTGTCAATTCTTCCACATGTACAGTACATACACACAGAGAATTGAAATTGCGTTACTCTCAGACCCTTGGGTGCATACAGATAACATAAATACAGATTAAATACAAAATACAACTATACAAATATACAAATAAGGTAAAATGTAAAAATATGGAAAATAGAGTGCAAACCAGTAAAGTAAACAACAGTGCAGATATAGTGATTGTAGTGCAAAAAAATTATTTGTAGTGCAAAAGAGCTTATTCAGACTGATTAAAGTGACAGTGTGTGTGTGTATTTGGGAGGGGGGGAGGGCTTATTGTATGTATAGGCTCCTCCTGTTTGATCTTGAGTGCCACAAGCTCACACATTCTTTTTACAAAACCTTGTGATGTGCTGAGGTTACAATGAACCATACTATTGTTCGTTTTTTTTATAAATATAAATAGGCAGTATACAGTGCACTAGTACATGTTTGTATAAACTGACAATAATTGTTGGGTATAATGGGTTTTTCTGTTGAACAACCTACTAAACTTCGTATTATGTTTAGTTTTGGTCAGGGGTATCCAATCCTGCTCCTGAAGGGCCAGCGTCCTGTAGATTTTAGCTAGAACCAGCTCTAAAACTCCTGTCTAGAAATTTATAGTTAGTCTGAAGATCTTGCTTAGCTGTTTCAGGGTTGGTACTAAACTTTGCAGGACAGTGGTCCTTCAGGAATGGATCTGGACATCCCTGTGCTTTTATTATGGTATCAGTGACCTGTTGTGTGTGTGTGTGTGTTTTAAACAATTGGTAATCTTGAAGGTCATCAATTTGTGTTTGTACTTTTAAACTCTGTCTGCATCATATTTTTTTTTACTTTATAAGTCACCTTACTGTTGCTTTTTTTTCTCTCCTGTCCTGTCTTTAACCCATTTGGTGCCATTATCAGAGGCAAGCGCAAAGACACGGGATGGTGTTCAGTGTGCCTTTGAAGAACTGGTTGAAAAGATCCTGCAGACACCGGGGCTCTGGGAGAGCAGCATCCAGAACCACGGTGTCCAGCTGTCTGATCATGAACCGCAGCGTCAGGGTGCCTGTAGGGGTTACTGCTCCCTGGTTTAACATACTCACCCGACCCAAAAACCACAAACTGAGATGGAAAGCACAGTTTTCTTTCTTCTGAATGAGAGCTTCCTCTGAGGGGGAATGGTCTGCTCCCTTAGAGCTGGTCAAAGGGACCATTGCAGTTTGCACAGTCTCTGTCACTCAATGTTGTTTTATTCTGTCCCAGTATTCTGTCATGTTATTCTCGATTAATGTCTCACAGTGCTATATTACCTGTAGCCTATGTAAACCGTTATTATGCAAAAAAAGTCCTTTTGAAGATTACAACCTGAGCATGTTGAAATATGCCAGATATTATGCCCCCCCCAGGCAAGATGACAGAGTTGACATGCTCCCCCCTCAGTGTGAGCACCGCCTTTGTCCCGATGTGTGTAGGCCAGTAGGATTATAGGAGGGGAGGGGCAGAGAAACGGCAGGATCTGATCAGTATGATGAACTCATTCAATATGAATGTCATCAAATGTCCTTTGTACCTGTACTACATTTCATGTGCTTAACATATTCTCTGCTGCTCTCATTTTAATCTCCTGCTTTTTATTTAAATTAGTTAATAATATAAAATTATTCCCATTTTATTTTTTATAATATTTGGCCTTACAAATACTGTTTTGCATGATTCAACCTTGAAGAGTTTGAAATATGATATATTATTTTGTAAATAATGTCTTCAGTAGCTGTTCTGAATCATAATTCACACAGTTGTCTACAAAATGCTGTTTAGCTGCAGCTCTCATGAGTTAAAATAGATTAAGCATGTTTAAAGAATGTAATCTATGATGACTTTCGTCTGAATTAACATGAGATGATGAGTTTTAATCTTTCACTCAGTTTTTTTTTGTTTTCTTTTCTAGTTAAATGATGAATGGATACCAAAACACTTGTCCATTTTTGTTTTTAATTACAAAGCTTTCTTGGGACTTGATATTGATTCTTTTGACGTATTGACTTGAAAAAGGGAAGATTTGTTCATGCCTTAATATTTATTAGATCCGCATGTTTAACATGATCTCCGTTACAGGCTTTCACTTTGAATCTGGAGTGAGTGTGTGTTATTGCAGCCAAACAAATTGACCAATGGTACATGGGTCATTTAATTGAATTATTAACATGTCTTGGTCATAAAGTTTGAGTATTAATATGTTTGACTTTTTATTCGCTTAATAGATGTTTGTTCTGGTGCAGAGAGATTTATTCAGTCATAGAAGTAATTGCTTATGACTTCATGTAGCCGCAAAACCATACACTAACCAGCACCCTAATTAGGATTCCTTACAATTTATGGGTGTTAAATTCACATACTCAGTTTTGTAGATGCTTGCTTTCATTTCGGCTGTTGTCCTTCAGCAGCGATGTTCTAGTCTGTATGCCGTTTTCTGCTGTGGAGTGGAAAATTAGGACAAATTATATATCTTACATTCTTTTTGCAATAAAATATCTAACTTGTAGAAGTGTTTGATCTGCCACAGCATAGTGCCTTTTGTTAAAGTCTATGAATGTCTGTTCAAAATTAGATCTTAATTATTAGTATGTCATTTCTAGTAAATGAACTCCAGATGGACATATAGATGTTTTGAAATTGATACTACAGCTCTGTATTAGTTTTAACAGGCCATATACTGTGAAACATTTCTATACTGTACGCTACATACATGAATATTAATCACAACAAATGTCATGAGTTTTCAAACTGATACGTGGCACCTCATATCACATTTAAATTATAGGTCTAATAGACATCATTCTCTCCTTTCATTGAAACATTAGCTCTGATTAACTCTACTTGCTGGCTATAAAAACAGTCTAGAGGCTTGTTCACATCGGGACGAATATCGCGCGCGATTATCGCCGACGTTTAACGCCTCGTGACTAAACAAAGGGCGTCAATGTGAGTGCACACCGACGCGCAAAACGCGAGGCGTAAAAGCGTCATTTTTTAAAAAACGCCTCGGACTCTTTTTTTGGATTGACGCGCCGCGTTAAAAACTGGCCGACCAATGAGATTGGCGCTTTTGTTCACGTGCCTGGAGCTGCTGAAGTTACAGTAAAACAGGACTTGGTGGCGCTCAAGCACAAAACGGTCTTGCCTAGCACACATTGATACCTAACGACAAAGAGGAAGTAAGTAGACCAGGGCTGTGTCCGAAATTGCCCCCTATAGTCGTGGCCATTAGGAAGTCATCGCCTAATGGTTAGAGAGTCGGACTCGTAAACCAAAGGTTGCGGGTTCGAGTCTCGTACCGGCAGGGATTGTAGGTGAGATGGAAAGCACAGTTTTCTTTCTTCTGAATGAGAGCTTCCTCTGAGGGGGAATGGTCTGCTCCCTTAGAGCTGGTCAAAGGGACCATTGCAGTTTGCACAGTCTCTGTCACTCAATGTTGTTTTATTCTGTCCCAGTATTCTGTCATGTTATTCTCGATTAATGTCTCACAGTGCTATATTACCTGTAGCCTATGTAAACCGTTATTATGCAAAAAAAGTCCTTTTGAAGATTACAACCTGAGCATGTTGAAATATGCCAGATATTATGCCCCCCCCAGGCAAGATGACAGAGTTGACATGCTCCCCCCTCAGTGTGAGCACCGCCTTTGTACCGATGTGTGTAGGCCAGTAGGATTATAGGAGGGGAGGGGCAGAGAAACGGCAGGATCTGATCAGTATGATGAACTCATTCAATATGAATGTCATCAAATGTCCTTTGTACCTGTACTACATTTCATGTGCTTAACATATTCTCTGCTGCTCTCATTTTAATCTCCTGCTTTTTATTTAAATTAGTTAATAATATAAAATTATTCCCATTTTATTTTTTATAATATTTGGCCTTACAAATACTGTTTTGCATGATTCAACCTTGAAGAGTTTGAAATATGATATATTATTTTGTAAATAATGTCTTCAGTAGCTGTTCTGAATCATAATTCACACAGTTGTCTACAAAATGCTGTTTAGCTGCAGCTCTCATGAGTTAAAATAGATTAAGCATGTTTAAAGAATGTAATCTATGATGACTTTCGTCTGAATTAACATGAGATGATGAGTTTTAATCTTTCACTCAGTTTTTTTTTGTTTTCTTTTCTAGTTAAATGATGAATGGATACCAAAACACTTGTCCATTTTTGTTTTTAATTACAAAGCTTTCTTGGGACTTGATATTGATTCTTTTGACGTATTGACTTGAAAAAGGGAAGATTTGTTCATGCCTTAATATTTATTAGATCCGCATGTTTAACATGATCTCCGTTACAGGCTTTCACTTTGAATCTGGAGTGAGTGTGTGTTATTGCAGCCAAACAAATTGACCAATGGTACATGGGTCATTTAATTGAATTATTAACATGTCTTGGTCATAAAGTTTGAGTATTAATATGTTTGACTTTTTATTCGCTTAATAGATGTTTGTTCTGGTGCAGAGAGATTTATTCAGTCATAGAAGTAATTGCTTATGACTTCATGTAGCCGCAAAACCATACACTAACCAGCACCCTAATTAGGATTCCTTACAATTTATGGGTGTTAAATTCACATACTCAGTTTTGTAGATGCTTGCTTTCATTTCGGCTGTTGTCCTTCAGCAGCGATGTTCTAGTCTGTATGCCGTTTTCTGCTGTGGAGTGGAAAATTAGGACAAATTATATATCTTACATTCTTTTTGCAATAAAATATCTAACTTGTAGAAGTGTTTGATCTGCCACAGCATAGTGCCTTTTGTTAAAGTCTATGTGAATGTCTGTTCAAAATTAGATCTTAATTATTAGTATGTCATTTCTAGTAAATGAACTCCAGATGGACATATAGATGTTTTGAAATTGATACTACAGCTCTGTATTAGTTTTAACAGGCCATATACTGTGAAACATTTCTATACTGTACGCTACATACATGAATATTAATCACAACAAATGTCATGAGTTTTCAAACTGATACGTGGCACCTCATATCACATTTAAATTATAGGTCTAATAGACATCATTCTCTCCTTTCATTGAAACATTAGCTCTGATTAACTCTACTTGCTGGCTATAAAAACAGTCTAGAGGCTTGTTGACATCGGGACGAAAATCCCGCGCGATTATCGCCGACGGTTTACGCCCTAACGCCTCGTGACTAAACAAAGGGCGTCAATGTGAGTGCACACCGACGCGCAAAACGCGAGGCGTAAAAGCGTCATTTTTTAAAAAACGCCTCGGACTCTTTTTTTGGATTGACGCGCCGCGTTAAAAACTGGCCGACCAATGAGATTGGCGCTTTTGTTCACGTGCCTGGAGCTGCTGAAGTTACAGTAAAACAGGACTTGGTGGCGCTCAAGCACAAAACGGTCTTGCCTAGCACACATTGATACCTAACGACAAAGAGGAAGTAAGTAGACCAGGGCTGTGTCCGAAATTGCCCCCTATAGTCGTGGCCATTAGGAAGTCATCGCCTAATGGTTAGAGAGTCGGACTCGTAAACCAAAGGTTGCGGGTTCGAGTCTCGTACCGGCAGGGATTGTAGGGGGGGGGAGGGGGGGGGAGTGAATGTACAGCGCTCTCTCCCACCTTCAATACCACGACTGAGGTGCCCTGTACCCCCCAACCGCCCCCCGGGGCCGCAGCAAAAAAAAAAAAGGCTGCCCACTGCTCCGGGTGTGTGTTCACTGCTGTGTGTGTGCACTTTGGATGGGATAAATGCAGAGCACTAATTCCGAGTATGGGTCACCATACTTGGCCACACGTCACTTTCAAATAGGGCACTATTTGAGGGAACAGCCATTTTTAGTGGTGTCCGAAACCATAGTGGACGTTCTCGAGTGCATTCATTCAATCCCACAATGCACTGCAAAAACGACTGTACAACTGGTGCACGCTCAACGGCTAGAGAATGCCCATAATGCACCGTGAGAGTCACGCGGCGAATTAATTCCCGAATCTCGCCAGAAGATGGCGCCCGCAGCTGAATAATCAATCCGTTCGTTTATAACAAAGCGCTCATCCATAGCATAATTGATTATTAATTTCCGTGACCGAGTTCAAGATAAATCCTTTAATCTTACTACTGGAGCTGCTAGTTTGCTAGTTTCATAGTTTCAAAAAACAGCAAGCACAAACTATGCAAAAGCGGCATTCCTTCCGGTGCACTCAGTGTCCGAATTCACTACTCGTTTTCAGTCGGTTTCAGTTTTCTAGTGAACTGAATTAGTGACCTAATGTAGGGAATAGTGAATGAGG